TGGAAGGGGGCAAACGTTATCCAGACGAGGAGACAGACAGGAAAAAATGGTGCCCAGGCTGCTTCCCCGTCTCCCCATCCAATCCCCTTTACCTCTTCTGGCTGCACAGGCACAGCTTCCATTCCTCTGCAAAGGAGAGATGAGGGAGAGGGTCCCTGCATATTTTTGATGCCTGCAAGGAAAGATCTCTTATTCTTCACATCAATTTTATCCCCAACTTACTCAAAAAAGAATCTTCTTAGTTTGATCAACCAATCTTTCATGAATTTCACGCAGGAGGACTAAAAGGCCATTCACTGCCTTTAGAAACATGGAAAGAAGGGAGATTGAGAAGAAATGGGCTGACTGGGTCTTACCCTGTGAAAAGGGTCCTCCAATCCCCTCCAGTGACCTCTGCCTGAGAGACAAAGGGGATTCCACTGCCGGAGGGGAGCCAGCAACAGATTCTGAACAACCCTGTAGAAAAAAAATTGCACATAGCAATTTCTGGACACCCAACACAGGAACGGACGAACAAATTTAAAAACTAACAGTAGAGGAAAAAACATCAGATTGAGGAAGAAGAGTGGAAATGTTTGGTTAGGCAACATAAAAAAAAACTATTGACCTGAACACCCACCAGCATGGAGGAAACCTTCCACCAGGGACATGGCCTGGGAAGTGGTTTCCGGCTTGCACTCTCTGACCCAGATCTTCATCGCTGGTGGCAGGACAGCCAGGAACTGTTCAAGGACGATCAGGTCCAGCATTTCAGCCTTGGTGTGTTTTTCTGGCTTCAGCCACTGGCTACAGAGACGATGAAGTTGGCTACAGACCACTCGGGGCCCTTCATCCTCCTGGTAGCTGTATTCCCGAAAATGCTGGCACTGGACGTCTGGCTCAAGAGAGTCCGTATCAAGGTTGCTATGTCCAGTTCCTACTGGGAATTCCTTGTTGCTCCAACCCTCCATGTCATTCAGCTCCTTTTCAGCTCCAGAACTGGCTGAGACCTCCAATTTCATCTCCAATAGGAGCCAAAAGAATGGAAGAAAATGGATCGTGTTTCCGTCTGTCAAAAAAGCAAAGACATACCAAAACTCAGGGATAAGGTCAAGGCTTGGGAATGGCTCCTTTATGTAAGAGAT